ACTCATCCTACAAATTGGCTAAAATTTAAAAGTCTAAGAATGCTTTTGATATTGGTGTTGGTGAGCAAAGAAAACTCTCCTTCAACTGCTGATGGGAGCTCAGTTGGTATTCTCTAGCAGGTTAAAAAAACGTTAACTTATGACCCAGAAATTCCACACCTTGATACAACCTAGCGGATTCATGTAAATTTGCTGACATAAAGGAGACATGAGGAAGGAAGCAGAGATGATGTGATCGCTGGAAGGAGGACATAAGGCAAAGAATGAAAGCACCCTCTCCAAGCAGGAAATAGCAGGGAGATACATCTATTCCTTAGAACCTCTAGCAGGAACCAACCTTGCCCAAGATTCATGGTGGACTTCAGACCTCCAGAACAGTAAGATAATAAATTTGTGTTGTTTTAAGTCACTAAGTTTGGCATAACGTATTACAAACTTCTGTATTGTAATAAGTTATGACAAATAAACTAATACAGAAAGCAGAATTGTTTATAAAAACCTATCCTATGCAAAAACATAATCATTATCAATTGCAAAAAAATCCAAACAAATTCAAAAGAAAAAAACAAGTGAATTGTGACACATATGACAGAAGCTCATTTCTCTCATATACAAAAGTATATGAAAGAACCAGTATTGAAGACATCAGCAGCCCAGTGGAAAACCAGGGAAAAGGAAATAAATATTTCAAATAAAAAGCAATATAAATAACCAATATCTCTCCCCGGCCCCTGGCCCACCCCATGAAGAGATGCTAATCTTATTCACATTAGAAAAATGTTCTTGACTGGGTGCCGTGGCTCACGCCTTTAATCCCAGCACTTTGGGAGGCAGAGGCAGGCAGATCACTTGAAGTCAGGAGTTCAAGACCAGCCTGACCAACATGGTAAAACCCGATCTTTACTAAAATTACAAAAAATTAGCCGGATGTGGTGGCAGGTGCCAGTAATCCCAGCTACTCAAGAGGCTGAGGCAGGAGAATCACTGGAACCCAGGAGGTGGAGGTTGCAGTGAGCCGAGATTGCACCACTGCACTCCAGCCTGTGTGACAGAGGGAGACTCTGTCTCAAAAAAAGAAAACAGAAAAATGTTCTTGTCTACCTGGTGCCATTTCTCCCTGGGCCACTCACAGGGCCATGTGATTACCCTGATTCAATAATTCTTCAACTTCAGCCTGCTGCCCCAGAATTACCTAAAGAGCATGTTAAGAATGAATAATTCTAGATCTCATCCCCAAAGATTCTGATTCACTAAATTTGGGGCCAGGAAATCTGCATTTTCTACATAATGGCCCAAGAAATATATTTCAAAAAATACTGCCTACCTTTCGACCTTCCTATTGCTGGATTCCTTCTTCAGACATCCTGAGCTGACCAGATTCCATAGTCAAGGCTGCCAGATATATAACTAACAGCATCAAAGGTTAATCATGTACATGATACAACTTTGTTATAAGAGGGGCACTGCCAATGTCACTGAAGAAGTCAGAGTGACATCTAAGTCATTATCACGCTGTAGAATGGCTGCCACTGTAGTCATCGGGAGGCAGGAGGTAAACTAAGATGATATTTCCAAGATAAGTATGTAGCAAGTATGCAATAAGTATGTAAGTAATACACTTTATTTAATATAAAGTTAGAAGCCTTGCTATTCTGTCTCCACTTATTTGGAATATATCCTATATCTGTGAAGTCACAGAGATAATCAACAAGGCATCTCTGTCAGGATGTAAGTATGATTTTAGGGCATAAACTAACATAATCTTTATGGAAATAACATAACTAGGAAACTGATGTTTAATCTCTATGATTTCTAACACCCACTAAATAACCTGGTTGGCTGGCCCCTTGTTACCATACATAAATTGCCCTTAATGAGGGGACAGGATGTTTATCTTCAGTGTGGTAGGTGAACAGACATGTATTCACAGCAATTACTCTAGGTCAAAACCTTGACAAGCCTTGTTTACCTTTTGTCCCCTGCTCCCCAGGCCCAGACTAATTGAAAACCTTTTGCTTGTGTCAGCTCTAGAAACAACTTGTGCTGCATTTGACCAACATACTTTAGGACCATAAATATTTTTTAAATTTCCTTTTCCCTAACTCCTGCTTTCAAGAAATAGAATTGTCCTTGGATACTTGAATAATATCCAGTAGTAACCCTAGACTAGAATAATTTGATGGAAAAGTTTGCCCTAATGTCATTTCCACAATATCTTTGCCTGTGTAAATTACATTTCTGTTTTCAAAGAGAACTTGTATTGGTACATATTGAATTCTTTGCCTTCTGTAGCATTGAATTGAAAAGTACGTGTGTTAAAGCTCTCACTATATTCTACACAGATGTGACGTGGAGAATAAAGGTGTCTTGCTACTTTATACAACATTACAGAAGCATAAGAACAATAATTAAATATCAATAGCATCCCTGAAAGTCAATGTACGGTTTCATCTGAGCAAATGAAATGTCACTGGTTTGACATCAAAAATAAATACTATAAAAAACTTGCTAAAAAATATTCTGCTCATAGAACCAACAGTTCAGTAAACTCTAAAGTATGGGAAAGTCTTTTAAAGCTAATAGTGTTAAACCATCAATTATTTTGCCTTTATATACATAGCTAATAATGAAAAGTGGTTTGGTATTTATATAAATACCAAAAGTAGTTTGGTATTTATATAAGACTTTGAAAGAGGAGATGGAATTCTTGCCTATCTTTGGCCCTAATAAACCGTACAGCCTCTCTGGACTATCACTATCACATGGGTAGGAGAGAGGGAGGATAGGAGAGATTGGATTATATGATCTCTGTGGTTATCTTTAAGCATTAATGTTTTGTGCTGTTTCTATAATGACTGATACTCTTCAAGAGAAACAGAAGTAGCTACTCTTTATCTACACAAGCTCAGAACCATAACCAAGTTTTGTCTTTGAGAATTCCACTGTAAAATCATCCCCTGTGGGAAACAGTAGCTCACACCTGTAATCTCAGCACTTTGGGAGGCCAAGGCAGGAGGATTACTTAAGCCCAAGAGTTTGAGACCAGCCTGGACATTATAGCAAGACCTTGTCTCTACAAAATATTTTAAAAATTAGCCAAGTGTGATGATATGCACGTGTAAACCCAAGTGCTTGAGAGGCTGAGGTGGGAGGATCGCTTGAACTCAGGAGGCAGAGGTTGCCGTGAGCTGTGATTGGACCACTACTGCACTCCAGCCTGGGAAACAGAGCAAGACCCTGTCTCCAAAAAAAATTTAAAACAAAAGATCATTCCCACAAATCTCCAAGGAGTAAATAGAAATGAAATGATGGGGCTTCAGGTAGTCACTCCTTAGTTATTGAAGAATCTTCTAAATATGCTCATGATTATAATCTGTATTCAAATTCTGGATACCACTGAAATCAGGAGTTTCAAATGGAGAAAGCTAGAGGTACCCACATAAATGATCTAGTACCTATTTCTATTGCTTCCTGTTTCTTTTCTTTAAAACCCATCCTATAAATAGCATTCAAGTAGACAGAAAATCTTATATTTCTGAAGAAATCATCTATAGTGTAAACAAACGGTAGAAATCTTTGTGAAATATCTCCTTCAAACACAACAATAGAAAGGAATGTTGTTTTTCCCTTGTGAAAAGCAATGTCACATAAGGACCTAGTGTTGTTTCATTAATTATCTTAGGCAAGTTAAATTATCTAATTCAACATGACATGAAATAATGCAAAAATAAATTACTTTATCTGTCTTCCAAAAATGCTAAAACTACTTTTCTCAAAAAAGTAAGCAATACTTAGAATACATTCTATTACCAGGGTCAACCTTGTTTCTGAATTACAGTGATGGGATAGTGAAGACAGGAAGCAGTCTCCCTTTGAAATTCTCCAACCAACATGTATTATCTATAAATCAGAGAACAGTTAACTGCATTTTCTTTTAAGTTTATTGATGTTGCTGCCAGCCTGCAATTTTTGTATCAGGATACTCTATAACCTGTTTCAAACCCATAGTAACAAAGGAAAAGGGAGACATGAAAAAACGGAAACAATATTCAAAAATATCCAGATCCCAATTCTCACATTTCCAACTTCAGTTTCTCCTTGATAAATGTTTGTGATGGTGTAAACGGTGTTCTTCACCCACACTATGTACTTTTTATCAGTGGTAATACCATGAGAAGTGAGAATGTTATATTGTAGTTACTTTAAAATGATTTTGTAAATATCATATTGTAGAGGTTTGACTGAATAACCAAGAAAGAAAATGCCAAAGTATGGAAACAAACATACTGGTACTAGTTAAATAAGAGTTCCTTCGTCTTAATTTTGTTATTTAAGAACATCTTTAAAATTGAGAGTGCAGTTCAACTACAAGACATTTTAAAGACAGAAGCAAGAATCAACTGAATTGAGACGAGCTTCATTATTCCATCTTTCTTCCTATACCATACTTGAGGCCTGATGACTTTCAGCAATGGCCTCTGCTAAAAGTATCATTCCTTGAAGTGGGTTCTGTAGTGGACATGTGTGTGTATGTGTTGTCAGTATATGTAATTTTGCTTTTACAATGTTGGCAGTAAGAAGAAGGCTTCTAATTTTATTCAGCATGATGATAGGCCCTAGCGTTTTAATTATTTTTTATGTTGTGAGTAATTTATTATTCATTGGCTATCTTCCCTGTAAATCTTGTCCTAGCTCTGTAAGGTTTTTCTTTGGTGTCCAACAAAGGGTTTCATTGCAATAAGAATCAAGGTGTGTCTAAAATCTTACCCAGAGCCCAAACAATGCCAGTCTTCCAGACCAGTCTTAGAGTTTGGGGTGGAGAAACAGAGTCATTATAGAATATCTTCATCTCTCTGCCCAGAGATCACCAGAGTTATCACCCATGCCCTCCTAAAAGGGTGTCTCCAAGCGTATTTTGCTGTAGAGCAGAATTCGGAACCGAGAAGACAAGGGCTCAAATTGAATCTCACAGGATTTGTATGCAAGAGAAACCCAAAGGAATGGATTGGCTCTTCTTCAGAAACTTTTGCCTTTTGATCGTTCTAGTGGTAAGTAGAATTTAAAGAGGTGGGAAGGAAATGCAGCCTCAAGGTCTTGTCTCTATCAGTGATCGGGCTTTCTACATGGGATTTATTCCATTTTTAATCCCCTTCCTACAAACAGAGTTCTAGAAGTCCAGCCTCTGTTAATTTCAAACAACTCTCTGTGCCTTGAGGAACAAAGTGCCATGGAGAAGCAGGGTGAGAATCCGGCTGAATTAAATTTATATGCCCTCAGAGACATAATCTACTTCACTTTAAGTGCTAGGACTATTTTAAAATTTTTAATTGGAAATAAAATTCATATTCTATGGTCATATAAATAAATCAGATAGATTGCTGTGAAAACTCCCAGCGCAAATGGGTTCTAAATTTGAAGGGAAGTTAATCGAGCCCATTTCTTTTCAACAGTTATTTCCCTATGAGTTTCTTTCAAAGTGGAGGAATGATAGCCATGTTGAAATTACATTGCAACTAATGATGAAATATTTAAGTCATGAAAATTTTTTCCAGTCAGATATTGCTAAAGAAAAATGAAGCCCAGCCATCAAGACGAACCTTTTCTCAAATTATTAATACATTCCTACAGACCAGCAAAGAAATATTTAAATGACTTATTTCTTTACAGTAAACATGGCATTTTGGATATTATATTACTTTCCTCTAACCTTTGGGTGCCCAAGGTGTGACATGATTTCCAGACAGGCAGCATGCATAGCAAGTATCCTACCCTAGAAAGAGATAATTTCAATTCCAAAGAACAGAGTTCCAGTTGGCCAATCACTAAACTATTGCCAATTCAATTAGAAAAGTTTTGTTTAAAGAATTAGTTATACTAGACTAGACTTAAGTCTACTGATGATTAAATGATAGAACAATTCAGTCCAAATAGCTGAGAAAAATAAGTGGGAAGATAAGAGGACAGGATTATTAGGAATTGTACAAATTTTTCAAATTAAGACAAATGCATTATAGTTGGCCACACTTCAATCTCCCAGCAGTATCCACATTAGTGTTACAACCTACGCTTAGAAAATGATTCCTATCCTATTCTTAGGCAAGTGGCAATTATACCAGACTCCTCTGAACATCAGTTGTAAGAAACAGAGAGTAGCTAGGGCTGGGAGAGATGGGAGCACGTCGTTCTCCAGTAGGCACAGTGAGAGCTTCTCTTCTGGAATTCACATATCTAAACTTCAAGAGCAGCGCAGGAGTCAAACACTGCCAAAGGGCACACAACCCCGAGCTCAAAAGGGAACGTGAGAACAGTGGTAGAATATTGCATCCTCTGAGTTTAGGAGACAGAATATTAAACAAGACAATTTTTGAAAAATATTCTTAAACTTAAAAACACAAGATAGAAGGGCAATATTCTGTTACAATGATCATGATTTATTTACTGCATAAAATAAATGTTACTAAAAGAAGAGGCAAGAATCTAACTTGGTCTTCAATAGAAATAGTAAGTTATTAGTATATACCTCTTGTTACACTTCTGAATTTTTCATGCTTTGACTCAGATAAACTTTTGGTTTTCTGTAAGGAAAACTGTATGTGTCAAGATTTTAGAGGCCACTTCTGAGCACCAAATCTTGTCCCATTGCCTTCTGCACAGGCATGTTTTATGATAATATTATTTAATTGAAGAGTTGATTACTCTCCTTGATGTTGAAAGAGTATTGTATTTCAGACTCTCGGGACCTTTTTTGGTAGTATTTATTTATTTTCCTGGGTAACACTAGTGTTTTTAATACTTAATTCCTCCTACTCCTCATTGATATTGAAGTCTTTGTGTTTGACATTTCATGGTAATTGTGAAAAAGTTCCTTATGTATTTTTTCTTTATGTGTGTATAATAGATCCCTTACCATATCAATCAATAACATCTGGAATTGGGAGGTAGAGACTTCTAGCATGTTTCAAAATTGAAACAAATACAAGAATTGTTTAAGGAGAATCAATACGATGTTATAGATATTATAAGAAAGTAGGCATGCCCACTTGTCTTTAATTTCCTGAACTTGAACTCTGCCCCTTCTTCATTAACTAAATCAAAGACTTTCTGGGGCATCATTGCAGCTTACACTAATGAGGGTGTGGCAGCCTCTCAGAGACTCCCAGGTACTTTGTGTCAGCTACATCTCAACCACAAAGAGTACTTTAAACAAAGTTCTGACTGGCTAACCAGTAAAAGGTACTCAAAACTCTAGATTACAATAGGCCATTGATTTTATCACGAGTCATTTGGCATTTTCTTCCTAAGGATGCTTATCGTGTTCTTCTCCTATAAAACAGATAGGGGTGGTGCGGGACAATCAACAGTGAATCGAGACTCAGAGGTCCCGGGTTTGAATCACAGTTCCTCTTCAAAGTGGCTGTGTGACTTTGGCAAAAGGACTCACCTTCTCAGGGCTTCCTTTGATCCCATGTGAGAATATATGGTTAGACATGATGTTATTAAGTTGCTTCTACTGTAGAAACTCTGCAATTCTAAAATTATCTACACTGAATACTTACATAGTAGAAGTTCATTTCTGGCTCATAAATAGTTTTCATAAATTTGGCTGGAGAATCTGAGGATTTAGGTAATGCTACGGATTGTATAAATTTTATAAGGAAGGAATCACTTAAGGCAGGACAGTTATTAGTTAGAAGAGGCCTATATTATATAAAGTTGATAAGGTCATAAAAGACAACCATTTATCAGATAAGAATTTTTCTCTATGTGTGGTGACCATTCATGCTACATATAAGATGTAAACACTTCCATTAAATAGTCTGATTCTTGGAAGTAAAGAAGGTAGGTGGCTAAATACAGCTATTATCTCATTGCAAGTTGAGAGCAGGCATCAAAATTTGAAAACACATTTAAAACTAACTTCGCCACTTATCAATTTAGTTCTCACATGCACTCAAATACGTTATTCTAAAACATGGAACAGAAATTTGTTTTTATTTACTTGTCAGGCAAATTTCCAGAAATATGATGGAGAGAAAAACACCTTTTCTGATTTGGTTTGATATTTGTACTAAACAGAATACCCTAGATTGCTTTAAATGATCAGTTTCAATACTGCTTATTACAGAAAGAATGTACTCATCACCCCAAAGGTTACATCAAAGCAAACCTCACCTCTATTATTGTTTTGTTAATATAAGTGGCTAAGGAATTATTAAATGTATTTTAAATCAGTGGATAAGTTTATATTTTTTGCCTTCAAATTCCTGCAGAGTCCATGGTGAGAACTTAATATAAAAAAAGTTTTATATCCCAAGAGATATCTGGTATTACCATGACATATAACTTAGTATCGTTTTCTCAGGAATATCTACTTATTGACTTGCGGGATAAAAATCCTGCCCTAAAAAGATTTCATGGCCCTTGGGATTGTACGACCCTTTTCCTTTTTGAAAGATCCTTTTTTTGTGTGGGGGAGAGCTTCTGGATCCTGAGTACATAGTCCGATGACTCTTTTCTCGTTCTTAAGTATCCAGGAAGGAGTTCCTTACAGAGCAATGAAACCGTTGTTTAAGTTGCAGTAATGTTGCCTTCCCTTCCCCAAGTGGGAGCACAGTTGGAATTCCTCACTCATGGAAAGCAGCTCTGACTACAGGGTGTGTGACAACAGTGCCTGGAGGGAAAACTTCAGACATAACTTGCATGAGAAATGTTTGCCCTTCTTTTCTATGCAGAAAATTACATGGCTTACAAACTAAAACGCCATTATTGATACACCTGCAATTATAAACAAAAGTGGTATAATTAGGCTTGAACTTGGCAACTCTACCATAGACCTGGTAGGATGGTAATTGCTTTACTCAATTATTATTATAAGCATTATTTGGGCAAGAACTGCTTATTAATAAGTTGGTCCTACATATGCGGATGACTTCAAAACTGACTACTTACTTTAAAAAGGTAAGTCATAGAGCTGAAAAAATAGCCTTGTTCTGTAGCTACTACTTTAAATACACTCAGAATGTAAGAGAACAATATCTATTCCAATATTGCAAGAAGCATATATGACTTAGAGTCTACATATCTTATATAAAATCATCGTATTCTCTCTAGAAGTAAGTATTAAAAGAGAAAGCAAGACTCAGAAAAATTTCTGCAATTTTCTAAAAGTTAGATGACAATAGAGTATGGCATATCCTATTATTCCTCTCTGGAATATATATATTATTACAGGTCAAAACTTGTCTTGCACACGGAGAACAGTGTCTGTCACATGCTTTGTCAATGAAAATGTTTCCATGAATGAATGGATTTAGTTTCTAACTTATCTTTCTTACCAAGTCACTTCATCATATATTTCCCACCCACATGTTGATGAGCAACTTTAATATGGTTAGTAAGCTTTAAAAAGAGCTCGACCGCTTCAAATTGAGACGAGGTGTTGGTTCTCTGAAGCTGCCAACCACTACATTGCCATTCTAACACCTGACATTAACAAAACATTTCACAGTTAATAAAACCATTTGAAGAGATTACAAAAGTCTCGAAAGGTAAATCTTACAAATTTTAAAAAAAAGTGTTCAAGGGATAAATTAATCAGACAGCTCACAACTGGGACAGTCAGGATGTGAACCCAAAACTCCACTCTGCCAGCAGTGACTCTCTTCCATTTTGGGCCAATGCCCAACCCTATACATTCTTCCTTTACATTGCCTAATTCATTCCAATATCTTTTATTATTTTCCTGCTTGCCTCCTATTTTAACATGTCACTCTTTCTAGGCCTGTGTCTTACTCTTCATTTCTTTCTCAGAAATTAGCACAGACATAAATTTTAGTTTCTTTTTTCTTTTTTTTTTTCTTTTTTTTTTTTTTTTTTGAGATGGAGTCTTGCACTGTCGCCCAGGCTGGAGTCCAATGGCACGATCTCGGCTCACTGCAACCTCCGCCTCCCAGGTTCAAGCAATTATCCTGCCTCAGCCTCCCTGGTAACTTAGGATTACAGGCACCCACCACCATGCCCAGCTAATTTTGTGTGTGTGTGTGTTTTTAGTAGAGATGAGGTTTCACTATGTTGGCCAGGCTGGTCTCAAACTCCTGACTTCATGATCTGCCCACCTCAGCCTCCCAAAGTGCTGGGATTACAGGCATGAGCCACTGCACCTGGCCAAATTTTAGTTTCTTAAGCATTTTTATATTTCCAGTAAAAGTCCTGTTCAAGTTTTTGCCATTAATGCAACCTATCAAAAGGATATCCAAAAATAAAGTGAGACAGGAAACTGTCATCAACCAGGCCCAGAGAGACTGTAATACATTTAGGATACCACACATCTCTCCGGGTTATGTTTGCTCCCTCAACAGCATGTGCCTCCAACTCCCTTTTCTAGTACTTTACCATTGTGATGACTGGCTCAGCCATTTCCATTCTGTGTATGTGTCTTTTACTCAGGGCCTCAGGTCAAGCCACATCAGCGGATGATGCCTAACCCACATATCGCTCTGAAAATATGACTTTCGAGCTGGTCCAAAGGTAGTGAGTTGTCTCAACTGATTGTTCACAGTCACTTACAGGTCAAGCTCCTTGTTCTATTCTTTTCCCCCCCTCCATCTCACTACTGCACTTGACTAATCTTAAAAAAGAAAAAATTTTAAAAAGACTTTTGTAGGCAAGGAATTTCCACAATTACCTAGGAGTCCATGACTACTTTTCACAGTTTAACTGAGGTTCATACAGTTATACTATGCTATGCAATTTAGGAGGCTGATGTCATTCCATGCTTCTTCCAAAACACTTATTAACAGGTGTTTCTTAGAAAGTGAGGGCTCCTGATAGGGCTTATGATTTCATAGGGCCTGGGAGTAATACCTGGCAAGTTCCTTCCGGGAGACCTGTACATAAAGTGACAGGATTTGGAGAGTGTGGCTTCTGTTACTCTCATTCTTAGAACCAGCTAAGCAGGGAGCAGAAATACCACAAATGTACTATGGAAGCACAGCACAGGTTCTGCTAGATGAGAACCCTGGGTTCTAGTGTTCCACTTCCCTGGCCTGAAAATAATTAAAAATAAAAAATTCAGGGACAGCAAAAGGATGAAAAGGGGCTTATACTCAAAAATTCTCAGAGTTACTTCAGTTGAGCTGGGCTCTGTAGAAAGGATAAGACCAAGATAAAATGAACTCAAAACTCCTCATCCCTTTAAACTACAGACAAGTCTGCTCGATGTGGCTACTTTCAAATCCTTGAAAATGATAGACTAGTACTTTCAGATGTCATGGGGCACTATGGATGCGACCTTGAAATCACAGACGAAAACTCTTCCTTCATTCTTCCTTCCTCTTTACAAATGTACTGAGCGTTTGCTGTGCCTGTCACTTCCACCTTGGTCATTCTATTTGGATCAGAGTCTGAAATAGGGAGAAGCCAGGGGATTTGTCCAAAGCCACACTACTGAGTTCTCGTGCCCGCATGTCTCAAGAAATTTTTGATAAAACACATTGTTTTTTATTAAGCCAAATTATAATTTAAGGCTACATATCCACTATGGACTATAAATCATTGAACTTCAAAATGTACACTTGATATCAGCTTAATTGTTACTATAATAGTCTTCAAATTAGGACACGTATTTTTCTGAATGCATATTCCTTTAAAACTCTAGTTTTATTCTAGCATTTTCCAGATCCTCAGTTTCTAGTCCTTCTTCAACTCAATCTACCTCAGTGTGCACCTGAACTTGAGGTATCAAGCTAGTCCTTCTCTCCCAGGTCCCCCTAAAAAAGTCACACCTCTCAGCCATGGCAAACATTATTCTGTTGCACTCCAATAGATTGTGAAATTATCTGGAACACTAAACTAAGGAATAATGGAAAATATTGACATCAGTATTGAGAAAGAGAGTTAATTTCAAAGCACTTAACAAATCCTTTTGCAAGTCATGGTTTTCAATTATTTGTCTTCAACAAAATTAAAAGAGGACCTAAAGGAGTTGTCAACTTATACATCATTAAAAAATCATTTTGATGATAAATTGCCTTATAGATTTAGGTCATGTACTTCAGAATAAGTTTTAAGAATTTAATGACTCTGCTACCAGAAAAAAAATTCCAGTGTCATCTATTAATATGAACAAGTTTTCCCAGCACTTACAACTGAAAGGCAAAACCAGACAAAATAGAATTGGTTCTGAAGCTTGTTTAATTCTAATAATAAGTAATATTTATTTATGAACTAATTTTTCTAAAACTTCATCCCCATGTTTGCAATGCATTTCCAATAAAGTTTTACTTTTCATATTTAATTATATTGCATTGAAATTTCAATATTTGCATTTTGTTTGCTCAATTGTGATGCTAAGTATAATTGTAAAACTAATCCAATTCAGAGAAAAAATGTTTCTTTACACTTAGAGTTTCACAATGACAGAAATTTCAATAAAATAAAATTTCTATTCATACCTGTATTTTCATTACAGACAAGTATGCTAGACTGCTCAATAAAAACCTTAAAATACATTAAAGTATGTTTGAAGCTTGAAAATATATTCCAGTAGATGAACCTATGGAAGGAATAATTCATCAATAGAAAGGTGATATAAGAGTTCAAGGAGTGATAGGAGTAAAATAAATTCCAACTGACAAAGAACTTATTCATCTGTTTTTCTGATGGATGGCACTGAGCGTCAGAGGGCAGTAGCATGTAGATTCTTGTGTCTCCCACAGCTCCTCATACGTTCCCTTACCTTCCAGCAAAAATATTATTGACCATTTCTGGAACATCCGCTGACTTAGAGCCTTTACAACTGTGTTCTTGTTTCACCCTGGCTGAAATGCTCTTCCTCATCAATTCCTCTTATGAAACTAGCTTCATTCTGCAGAGCCCTTTCAAATCCCTACTCTCCTAGGAAGTCTTCTTGAAATTCACTTGAATCACTTGAGTTGCCTTCTCTATCCTCCATCAAGCCCACTGAGGTATCCTAACCTGCTGTAGACTTACGTGTTTGTCTTCCCTAAAATGTAAATAATTTGGAGGGCAAAAAGTCTATTATTCATTTGTGTTAGCCATATTTATTTCATATCATCAATAAAATGTATATTTAAAAATGAATTAATAAAAGAATATTGTCAATGTTTTTATGACATGGCTTCCTCTAAATTATGCAGATTTATGCTAATATGGTATCTTCTATTAAAACAGGTGGTGATGGAAGTAAACAGTGAATTTATTGTTGAGGTAATGTATAATAAAATTATTTTCTCAATTTAAAATTAAAACAAAAACTGAATTTTGTAATGTGTTATATATAAAAATCAGAATATTTGAAATTGTAATTATCCAGATAAAAGCTAAGAGAAAGAATCTCTGGTGAACTGAAATAGCAATGGTAAAGCCCAGGCTCCCAAATCTCTATGCTCTTAGGGCATGTGTTTGCAACAGCGTGTTGTCTCAGTAACTCCTGTTTATCAAACGATATGAGTAGTTAACTTATTTATGTTTTCCAACCACTAGCAAAGCAAAAGAAGCAAAGTGACACTTTAGAGTGGGAAGAGACTCTTTAGATACATTAGACAGAAAGATAATTAATGGTTCATCAATGAGAAAAAGGACAAACATTCAAATTGTATAATCACAGCTAAATGGAAAACATACAATCTGGTGCCATTTAGAGTGGAACTCAGGAAATAGAGCTGCTGTCCTCTATCTCTGGCAGAGTTTTATTTTATTACAGTAGTTAAATTTTCCTTATGATCCTCTCAAGTCATTGGAAAAAAATAAAATTACTTTTCTCATCTTTTTGGTGAAGTAGGGAATAGGTGGTACATTTCAGTAAGTTGTATCAAAATGGGGAAATAATGTAAATACCATGGTTGTAATATATGCTTCATTCAGTGGAACACCTCCTTCCCACAAAGTGGTAATTCAATGAAGCTTAGCCTAAATAAACTTATAATCACCTGTGTTTCAGGGGGTACATTAGGACTTACAAAAATAAACACACACATATATATAGTTTATGCATATATACACATATGCTTGCACATGTAGTGACATTTCTAATCTCATTAAGAGTATGAAATTCTTAACTATACACCAACAGTAGCAACTTAAGGCTACAAAAGAAAAACCATATAGCAAGCACAGATACAAATGACAACATTGCAAAGCCTTATAGGTGTCCATGGGATTATTGGAGGAATCATCAATTCCTCCAATACTAATAATATGTTTCTAATTCCACAAAAATATATTTGGGTGCTTAGCCACAGTGGTGTCCTTATCAACAGAAGAGAAAAAGTCTCTTCTCTCTTTTAGGTAAGCACGACTCACCAGCACAACTTTTATGTTATATGGGATGTGCATACATGGAGCAATGATAATCTTTAAACTCTGCAGACTGTAAATTCTGGTGAAAGCTCAATGAAGGGTGAGGTAGGCAAGGCTCCTATATGGTGAAGATAGATTGAAAAAAGGAAAACTGCCCAACTTATACAGTATAGCACATCATGAGCTCCTCAAGTAGCTAATCAAATTTGTTTCACTAGAATCAGATAATTGGAACCAAGATGATTCCAAAAGGAGTGGCAGTCAGGGCTAACCAAGCTCTATGGATCCAGAGTTGTGAATTCGTGAAAACGTTCTCTGTTCTTCAAATTCAATATCACTGTTTCTTCCAAATGCACCTTACAATATTAAATAAATGTCCTTTCTAAGTAAAATTGTTCTAACACTGTAAGACACTCGAACCATTTTTGCTTAAGGTGAAGGAATTTGACATTGAAAATGGCACTACAAAATGGCAAACAGTCAGAAGACAAAAGCGGGAGTGGATCAAATTTGCCGCAGCCTGTCGAGAAGGGGAGGACAACTCGAAGAGGAACCCCATTGCCAAAGTAAGTGACGAAGCAAGCTGATGGCAGATGCTTTTGCAGAGCAGGGAAACTTTCAAATATTTCCAAGATTTGCAGTCTTCACTGTTCCAGTTATTTTAGAAGACAGAATGTGGTCATTTGCTCCAGTTGATGAGCCTCCCTGCATGATTTGAATATCATGTGCAGGGAGGCTGACATGGGGCAGGTCAGTCAATGGTAAGTGATTCTAGAAGAAAAGAGCTGGATCTCCAGCACAACTGGGCTTTGTTCATCCATTTGTGTTCTGCTCGTTATTGCCTGTCAATGTCATAGGAAGTGTATTCACTTAATGACAGTCTGAAGACTGGCCCTCCAGAAAGTCAAGCTAAGTTTACTGCACTTGATGAATTCACTCCGAGAAAGTAAGGATAGTATCAAAAGTTCCCACCAGATCTCCACACCCAGAAAATAAGAGAGTCTTAAAAGACTTTCACAAAGAATGCCTACTGAAAGGAAGGAGAGTTAAAGAATGTATAATAAATTGATCCATGAAGGATGGGATCCACATTAATAGCTTCATTCACTCTTTCTGGGGATCTTGATCTTGAACAGTAAACTGATCTGCAGAATTCCCTCCTTCCAGCTTTACATTAAAACGTAGTAAGCATCAGCAATGATGTTACAGATACAGCCTTAGCTCAAGAAAACAGATTTATTCTCTCTCAGATGTTTTCAAATTGGAGGGATGCTTTTAAATTATTATTTCCATTCAACTCATAGTGGTAACTTTACGTTATTCCACTTATATTGCATATTCTTTTCTTTATCTTTGCATTTTGGGAGGTTCCTAAGTTTTCTTCTATGCAAAAAGGGCCTTTGGATTAGAGTTGAGATAACCTAAGTTCTATTTCCAGCATCTTTATTTGACTGTGAATGTGCAGGTAACAAATCTTACTATTTTACTGAATGCTCTTATCTTTAGTATATAGGTGAGATTTCAAAACTGTTTCAGTTTAAATTTATCAGCAATAGATAAAAAAGCTACTAAAGCAAAATCTATGTGGCAGAATATTTGCCATAAAATCTATTTGGCAGAAAAGTGTTGCAGTATGTTTACATTTATAAAATGATTGCCAATTATCTCTAACCATTATAGTTCTCTGATATTCTCAATTTATAGACCATTTTGACTAAATCTCAGACTCCAGCTTAGGTAGGATACTTATTAATGTGACACAAGTTTTTTTTAAAAAAATAGTAAAGATTGTCATTTCTTTTGTGAAGCTCTTTCTGCATATGCTAAAAAATCAGAGAATTGAACAATGTGTTATTAATAACAAACCTAGCATCAAGTGTGTATGTTGTACACATTACCTCACGTAATTCCCGCAACAAATCTGTGTGATAGGTGATATTATCCCCACTGTAAGCTGATCTGGGCAAAGTTAAGTAAATTTTCCAAGGTCACACAGGACTAGTTCATGGTGCCAGGTTTCAATCCAAAGCCCATTTGGTTAAGAAACCCATTCCCTTCTCATTCCACTACACTCTTAAGTATTATCTGCTCTAAATTGGATCACAACCCTAGCTATTTTTCTCATAGATTCGATCAGACTGCGAATCAAACCAGAAGATTACATACCGAATTTCTGGAGTAGGGATCGATCGACCACCATATGGGGTATTCACCATTAATCCTCGCACTGGGGAAATTAACATCACTTCAGTGGTAGACAGAGAGATAACTCCACTTTTCTTGGTAAGTCATAGCCATATGTTTTGATTTGTTCATACTAGTTTTCTTCCCTCTTTCAAAAAATATTGCCTTAAGATAATGGATTACTTTTGATAAATCATGGTAGACTGAACCCAAATAGAAGACTTGAAGGAATGGAAAGAGTATGAAAATAAAAGTTTATAGTTCAGGATTCTCTGGTGTGTTGCATGTACATGTAGTCAAGTGTCTTGATCATATTTAAATTATTTGACTGTATTTGAGTCTGAATTCACTGGAAAAAAAAATTGTTTCTTTGCCTGTTTTCTGATATATTTTCAAGCATGTTACTAAAATTCCTTTGGTGGAAAAAGACAGCTTTTTTCCAACTTTCCACAGATCTATTGCCGGGCTCTGAATTCACGGGGTGAAGACTTAGAAAGGCCTCTTGAGCTTAGAGTCAAAGTTATGGACATAAATGATAACGCTCCAGTCTTTTCACAAAGTGTATACACAGCCAGTATTGAAGAAAATAGTGATGCCAGTAAGTAGAATGACATTCCTTCTCTGTGTCACAGCGTACCTACTTCTCTTGGTCAAAAGCTTTAGAAGACTGACATACAGGAAATGTAAAGGACAGGAAAAGTCACACTTGTATTTTGAATAAACCCCACATATTTTAACTTATAACTGAACTAGAAAAGGAAATCTATGTCTAAAATGATAAAATAAAATATCTTCTTACTTGTGGAAGGTCCCTACAGCAATTTAGCAGGTGCTCAGCACCTTCCCTAGAGATTGTTACTGGGCACATGAACAACTAAATCCAAGTGAGCAAACTGAGGAATAAACCAGGAATGTTTAAGAAGGCTCTGTTCTGGTCTGTTACTCAAAGTGTTTGGCTGACCCACACCAGGTAGAGCGTGATGGTGCAAGCACGTGCAATTGTACCCATCAGATCATTCACTAAGGTTAATCATTGATCTTCACAGACTACATAGCAAACTACATTCTATTCTCTCATTTTCTTTCATTTTTTTCCATTACACTTAATTCCATTTCCAGTTCTAATACCCTCTGTCTTTCCTTTATATTAGTTCTCCTGAACTTCTTTCCTTCCTATGCTTATGCTTTTCTTATATGGCTACTTTCCTGTCTCTCCTCTCCCTTTGCCTTCTGACCTTGATTTTATGTCCAGCACATGAATATCAGTTTGTTCCCCAATCCTCTAATGTCCCTTTCCCTTTCAAATCTATGTCTGCCCATATACCTCTAAACAAATTTAGGGGGAAATAATAGGAAAAATAAATTTCAGGAGAAAAGGCAGATAAACACAAAATGTTTTTTTAAACTAGAATGGTCCTCCCATAGAGAGGCAAAGAGATTTTGCCTAGGAGAACCAAAGTCCTTTGATTCCTCATGAACACACCTCAAGATAACATTGGTGAAGGAAGAGAAGGTAAAACCCACAACCAAGTCCCCCTGCCTAGGAAGCAAAAGAACATCAAGGACCTGACAATTCTGAAAAATCTGTCCTGTAGATTGATGTCCCTGGGGATTTGCCTAGGATACCTATTCTTTCTACTTATGAGTAATTAGGAACTCCTTATATTGCTACGGACAAGTCTTCTTTTCAATAATTATATATTTGTGACTGTTTGGTAAAGTGCTATCTTCCAGTGCAACCAGGAGTAATTATCTGCTTTCTGGATAAGTGGCAATTAAGAATATAGGTGTTCAATAAATAATTACAATGTTGCATTTAATTAAACTATAATCTTAATTAAGCTTTTGAAAATGATTTCACAAGACCATGGCAAAAAATAAAACAGATAAAAATCTGTTTATTCAGCTTTCTGATAAAGAATCTATTGAACTTCTTCTTCATGCTTTAAAGAGAACTATGTTTTGCTACTAATTTAGCATTTAATCATTTAAGGAGTGCAAGTACTTTTAAAACAGTAAAGAGTTTTATAAAGTAAACCACAATTATTTTTGTAATCACTGGTAGAGCTGAAAGTTATGGTACTATATTCCCATGGAAAACTCAAACAGAGAGAATTCAGGAGAAGACCAACCACTCTGTCTTCTTATGCCTTATGGTTTGCTGAATTTATTCTGAGTCTCGACCATTCTCCACCTCCATTTCTATTTCTAGATGCACTGGTAGTAAAGTTATGTGCCACAGATGCGGATGAAGAAAATCATTTGAATTCCAAAATTGCCTACAAGATCGTCTCTCAGGAGCCGTCAGGTGCACCCATGTTCATTCTGAATAGGTACACTGGAGAGGTCTGCACCATGTCCAGTTTCTTGGACAGGGAGGTAAAGCCTTCTGTGAATGAATAAAGAAATAAAAAGTCCGATTTTGAAAAGACAAAGATAAAATGATCTATGTGTACCCTTACTCCAACATAAAGGAGGGAAGGAAAATAATCCATTTTTAATAAAAATTAAAAGCTCAATTGTATAAATAAAGGAGTAGAGAAATAATGGCATTGAATGCATTAGATTCTATTCAAGACAAACCTAAGTCTTACATTCTTTTTCATCTTGATTAAGCAACACAGTATGTACAACCTAGTTGTGAGAGGCTCAGATCGGGATGGAGCTGCAGATGGACTGTCTTCTGAGTGTGACTGTAGAATCAAGGTTTTAGATGTCAACGATAATTTCCCCACCTTAGAGAAAACCTCAGTAAGTTTGTATTCTTATCACCCTTTTTCCATAAGTGTCAATAATCAATTTGCTTTCATGCTGGCTCATGAGCCTGGTTCTGTCCTACATATGGACATACTCAACTTTGTTGTAGAAACTTTGGAATTTCTTAGGTATAGTAATATACCTTCAAATTGTATGTTGGTCTTTGACTCACTACTCCCAACAAGCCTTCTCTGCGAAAGCAACGAACTGTCTACTCTGTATACTCTGTTCACAGAAACACAGAAATCTGTTGATCTAATTCTGGGAATAACATAGCAACATTAATGTTTTTGTATGTGCCTCATGATTTGCTGAATGAATTCTACTAGAGCCCCAAACATTCTGAACTTCCACTTCCATCTCTAAGCATAAAGAAGCATAAAATCCAAACCAGCAGGGCCAAATCTGACTTGCTGTCTGTTTCAGTTTAAAAACAAAACAAAAAAAAACAAGGCCAGGCACAGTGGCTCAAGCCTGTAATCCCAGCACTTTGGGAGGCCGAGACGGGTGGATCACGAGGTCAGGAGATCGAGACCATCCTGGCTAACACGGTGAAACCCTGTCTCTACTAAAAAATACAAAAACTAGCCGGGCGAGGTGGCGGGCGACTCCGGAGGCTGAGGCAGGAGAATGGCATGAACCCGGGAGGCGGAGCTTGCAGTGAGCTGAGATCCGGCCACTGCACTCCAGCCTGGGCGACAGAGTGGGTCTCCAAAAAAAAAAAAAAAAAAAAACAAAAACAAAACAAAAAACGTGTTATTAGAGAGCATAGCTGTCCTCATGCCTTTATATGTTGTCTGTGGGGGCTTTGTGCTGCAACAGCAGAGATGAGGGGTTACAACACCAATTCTCTGGCCCACAACATCTAATATATTTACTGTTCAGCCCTTTACAGAAAAAAATCTGATCCCCTGTCTAAAAGAATAAAGAAATTAACAATAAGCAAAAAATTAAAGAAAGAAAAGAAAAAGAGACGAAGTGCTAACTTGATTTTACATACAGCACATGAATGTCAGTTTTATTATCTTGTAATCATTTTATTCTTATTTTCCTGATTGGAATATGGGCATTGAATAATGGTGCAAAAATAATTGACATAGTTTGTTGTTAGTATTTTAAATAATAATTATGTGTTCTTAAGTACGTTTCTTCTTTTGAAAATTCATTGACTACAAAATTGATCCCCGCATTTTAGTACTCAGCCAGTATTGAAGAGAATTGTTTAAGTTCGGAACTGTTACGATTACAAGCAATTGATCTTGATGAAGAAGGCACCGATAATTGGTTGGCGCAATATTTAATTCTCTCTGGAAATGATGGGAATTGGTTCGATATCCAAACAGACCCACAAACCAATGAAGGCATTTTGAAAGTTGTCAAGGTACAGTATAAGGATCTGCAATATTTTCTTCTGCAATATTTTCTTCCAAAGAAGTTTTAAATGACCTTAGAGACAGAATAGAATCTGCCTTCAGAAAAAGTACTTCATAACTTTGAATATTGCTTATATCAAGGGTCCTAAGTAACTACTGTGTCAGTCTAAGTCTCCTAGCTAGCAACACAAAATTTATTACCTAGAAAAATAGGGAGGCAGTTTTGTTCTGACAGTGTCCAGTATCTAGTTATGAAGATAAGGTAAGCACCCCCAAATTAGACAATGTATGAGAGTTCACAGTGTAATAAGTAGTACAGATGTCATGATATGAAACATAATTAATTGTCAAGGGAATGAAATGTGAAATAATGAATGAGATAAGAAATGGTGAGATCCTTCTGAGCTAGATCTGTCTGAAAAGATTTCATGCAGGAAATAAGACTTAAGCAAGATATTATAGCTAAGATTGCTAATGTGGGTAATAAAATAAACAAACACGCAGAGTAAGAAAACATGAAGCATGTTCAGGGCATGGTGAGCAACCCCGTGGGGCTATAGTGGAGCATTCGAGTAGGGAAGTAATGAGAGGTCAGATCAGAGAAGTGAAGCTGGAATCGATCCCCTGAGAACCTTGCATACTGAAATACCAGGTGTGATTTTTTTTCTACAGATTAATTTTTCTTTAATTACTTGCTTTTAATTCATAGACAATGATAAAACTGAAAAATGTATAATTAGAAATGAATAAAACCACAAACCAGTAAGATTCAGATTAACGTTAATGTAAGGAGGGAAATTGTTATTTTTTTATCAAAGGAAATTGCTGCTTAACAACATAACACTTATAGCCAGGAAAATATGTATTAAGACATATACGTACACACATATTTTTAGTTTGCTACACAGTGTGATTGTGGAATTTACAGTGTGATTATTCAGTTCTGTTACTATTTTTCTCTATTCAAGCACATAGGCTGTTTTTGTGTTACTATAAAGTAATAGCTGAGACTAGGTAATTTATAAAGAAAAGAGGTTCAGCTGAATCACCATTTTGCAGGCTGTACAGGAAGCAAAGTGCCGACATGTCCTTCTGGTGAGGGCCTCAGGAATCTTACAATCATTGAGGAAGGCAAAGGGGGAGCCAGTGTATCACATGACAAGGATAGTAGCAAAAGAGAGAAGCAGAAGGTCCTAGGCTCTTGTAAACAACCAGATCTCGCAAAAACTCATTTATCACCAAGGGTATGGTGCTAAACCATTCGTGAGGGATCTGCCCAATCACCTCTCACCAGGCCCCGCCTCCAACTTTGGGAATCACATTTAAAGATGAGATTTGTGAGTGACAAACACCCAAACCACATCATCAAGTTACTGTGAGGTTTTTTCAGATAGCGTATTAGGAAACCATTTAGCCTTCTGGATGCAAACATATCGTTTATTCATTGGGGCTTTCTCTTTTCTTTCTCAAGTTATCTGAGCAATTTTAGTATTACTACTTTACCATCAACGCACAACCATGCACACTGAAATCATATGGTATATTAACTTATGAGCTGGCCACCAAAATTATGAAAAATATTTATATATAAGATGTCATCCAAATGAATACACAAATTTTATAATTTCTTAAGTGAACACAAGGATTCAAAGAGTATATCATGGCCTTTCTATTTGGAAAACATTGCTTTGGGACAGAGGTCAGCAAACTATGATCCGGAGGTCAAATTTAACCTATCCCCTGTTTCATAAAGAGTTTTATTGGAACACAGTCACATACATTCATTTACATATTTTCTGTGGCTGTTTCCACACTCAAGTGACTGATTTGAATACTTGAGATAGAAACTATATATGATATGACCCCTAAAACCTAGGACATTTACTATCTGGCCCTTGACCAAAAAAGCTTTTCAATTCCTACTTATAGACCAAGGAAAGATTTGGGATATTTTCTAAAATAACAATAACATCGGCCAGGCGAGGTGGCTCATGTAATCCCAGCACTTTGGGAGGCCAAGGCGGGCAGATCATCTGAGGTTGGGAGTTCGAGACCAGCCTGAACAACATGGAGAAACCCCGTCTCTACTAAAAATACAAAATTAGCCAGGTGTGGTGACACATGCCTGTAATCCCAGCTACTTGGGAGGCTGAGGCAGGAGAATCGCTTGAACCCAGGAGGCGGAGGTTGCAGTGAGCTGAGACTGCACCATTGCACTCCAGGCTGGGCAACAAGAGTGAAACTCTGCCTCTAAATAAATAAATAAATAAATAAATAAATAACAACATGAGTTCAACTCTGAAAAGACCAAAGTTATCAAAATTATTATCGTATTAATTAAGCCCTGAGGCACTAAGCATCTGATCTAAGGCAATGGCAGTAAAAATTGAAAAAAAAAAAAAAAAAGGAATGGGTATAGGAGTCATTGCCAAATGCAATATGAAGAGGGATAGAGGAACAGGAGGTCACCTCCCACCATATCAAATTCTGAATATTTAGTCAAGTTTTTCTTCCAGGGATCAGAATTTGTTAAACCTTGCATCCTGGTTAAAAATCAAGAGCTACACATAACATGCAATTCTTACCTATGTTCTTACCATCTTAGTGACTGACTTTGTATATTATCTCATATTATGTAACTGTTCTTCACTTTTGGTCTGTCTCCCAAACTACTAAAATAATAGAAGAATTTTGTGCATAAAGAACTTGATCTAAATATCTTTCTATCCCCAGCACCTGGTCCAGTGTCCAAAAGATAGTAGAGACTCACAAAATTTGAGAATAGTATTGATGATAATATTTACCTGAAACTAATAGTATAGATATCATCCAAACAGAAGTCCATGGACTTGACTGCATCATTTATAACTTCTGCATAAAATTATAAATATGAAAAAATTAACAATGTAGGCAATGTACTCTCTGACTTACGTAATGTGCCTTCTGTGATAACAACATTTTTAAAAGATATACTTAATTGCTTAAAAAATATATTGAAATATTAATTTCATGAAAAATTTGTCGATGTAATTTGGATGTTGTATATACAAAGCCCTATCTATTTTCTTCTGAATAACTTTCCAAGTCTCTTAAAAAGAGTAAGAAAAAATTGGCTTAAAAATACCAAAGTAATAGAGAAAGGCTAATTAAAATGAAATTTTATGTGTGTGTTACTACCTAGCCAAAAGAACTATTTTAGAGAACATAAGAGTAATTTTCCCATGTTTGACATTTTCAACAGCCAGAGGTCAGCCTCTCATTCCAGATACATTTGGAATGAGGTTACTAATGTCCTCTTACACCTTCTCCATTTTCATTCAGGATACCCCTTAATCTTGTGGAAACTGGCCCTTCATTAATGGATTTTTGACTAAGCTTTATATAACCCTTCTCTTAGTCTGAGGAAATTACAAAGATTCAATTCAAAGGATTTAAGGTGGTTCGTGCCTGTAATCCCAGCACTTTGTGAGGCCAAAGCAGGAGGGTCACTTGAGGCCAGGAGTTCGAGACCAGCCTGGACAACAGGGTGAAACCAAGTCTCTACTGAAAGATGGGTGTGGGGTGGTCACCTGTAATCCCAGTTACTCGGGAGGGCTGAGGCATGAAAATCACTTGAACCCTGACCGGGGAGGCAGAGAAAAAAAAAAAGATGTATTGAGAATTGCTGTGTATTGAGAATTCGCTGAAGATATGAAGGCGAATAAGATATGGTCCCTGTTCTCAAGGAATTTACAGTTTAACAAGAGAAAGATCTCAGAAAAATGAAAGTCTCTTTGTCAATAAGAGCCTCTCCTTGGCATTTATTGATAAGTGTATATGAAAACACCAGCAATATAAATACGTGTGTGTGTGTGTATATATATATATATATACACACACATTGACTCCAACACTGAGAAAAAAGCAAAGCAAAATGCTACCCAATTGGAACTCTAACAAAAAAAAATGATTCTCTATTTTTATAATAATTCTAACATTTATTAAGCAATTACTAAACACCAACTATTCTGTTATAAGGTGTATCCAGAGGGTTCACGTATTTTATCTCATTTAATCCTCACAACTCTTGGAAGAAAATAGGGTCATTGCTTTTTTTTTTTTTTTTTTTTTTTGAGATGGAGTCTCACTCTGTCACCCAGGCTAGAGTGCAGCAGTGTGATCATTGCAACCACCTCCTCCCAGGTTCAAGCAATTTTCATGCCTCAGCCTCCCAAGTAGCTGGGATTACAGGCATGTGCCACCACACCCAGCTAATGTTTGCATTTTTAGTAGAGACGGGATTTCACCATTGTTGACCAGGCTGGTCTCAAACTCCTGACCTCAAGTGATCCGCCCACCTTAGCCTCCCAAAGTACTGGGATTACAGGCGTGAGCCACCGCACCCAGCCAGTAATTCCATTTTTAGAGAAAGTGAAACAAAACTGATGAGGACAAATTGCTAGTCTCAGTTTACCCAGGTGGTAAATGGCAGAGACAAGATCCAATCAGAACTCTCTGGTCCCAAAGTCATATTTAACTGCCACCTTCATGTCTCACTGTGTAATCGGGGGTCAGTAAAACCAATTTTAGGAAAAAACTAGCACCCTGAGATTTTCCCTCCAAGTCTGTGTACCGCCATAAACTCCTTCCCAGCTGTGCGTGCCCTGCTTCTCTGTTCCCGACACATTTGTACCAGAAAATGAGCCTTCCTGGAAACAGAACACATACTCAGGCAGATAATGAGCATTTCCCGAGTCCCCTGCTGTGGAAAAACTGCTATCACATCCTCTTTTGGATGGAGGCTTCTAGCGTTCTCCCTCTTTCATACTTAATTTTAAAATGAATCAGTGTCCCCACTAGAATTAGCCGTGTCATATTAAATTAGAACAAAAAAAAATGGAAGTGAGAATCTAAGCTTAGCTTCTGTACTACAATTTACAGAAGCCAAATCCTGCCAGAAGCCAGATACATTTCTGGGTGTGTTATCTTCATCCTGATCCCTTCCAGAGCCTCACTCTAGGTCACTGCAGCTCAAGCCCCCACCCACTCTAACACACGCATGTGTACCTTGTTAAGCGGTTATTCTTCATTTGTTCCTTACACTGCAGAGACTGAGTTTCCCCAGCCTCTTCCTTTACTTTATGAAGAGACTCCAAGGTAAACCATTGTTTCCATTGCTCTTTACAATCCCTGACCTCTGGACACAATCAGAAAATCCTGACTAAAGGGCGCCACTTGCAAAGAATGAATAAACAATTTTATGCCTTTCCTCTATTTGGCTGTCCCTCCTAGAGGAAAGATTCACCCCAGACCAATTTCCTGCTCCTAGATTATGTGAAGATCTTTAATTGATACAACTTTAGACACATATTGATATATTTTCATCACACTCTATTCAATGGGGAGAGAACTTTAATATTCTTACAAACAAAAGTGCCTTTGTGTGTATACATAACAAAACCACAAGAGATTTATCTATCAGAAAAGAGGTTATCAGGCCGGGCACAGTGCCTGTAATCCCAGCACTTTGAGAGGCCAAAGCAGTTGGATCACCTGAGGTCAAGAGTTCAAGACCAGCCTGGCCAACAGGCAAAACCCTCATCTCTACTAAAAATGCAAAAAATTAGCCCGGTGTGGTGGTGCATGCCTATAGTCTCAGCTACTTGGGAGGCTGAGGCAGGAGAATTGCTTGAACCTGGGAGGTAGAGATTGCAGTGGGCTGAGATTGCACCACCGCACTCCAGCCTGAGCCACAGAATGAGACCCTGTCTCAAAAAAGTAAAAAAAGAAAAGGAAAAAAAAGAGGTTCTCGATTTTTCATTTGTTTTAAGATAGCATGGAATTCTATTAAATAAAAAAAGATCTGTGGAAGAAAGATCTCTTCCGGTTGAAAATTGATTTTTGAGTACATAATTTATATTCAGTTCTGTGCTAAATATCATGTGGGGTGGTCTATTATGTGGACCAGTGGACTAGGTATTATGTGGACCTGTAAATAGATGTGCAAAAGGAATCAATATCCCAGACCTGAAGGGTTTTGGCTGAAATTCAAGTGTGGCATGCTGAGCCATCTCCCAAGAAGAACCTAAGTAAATTTCTGTGAATGTTTTTCTTATCAGCTCTTCTGAAAAGATGTAACTCTAAAACCTAAGGAAACATTCATGATGTCAGGGAGTTTCACTGAGAAGCAGAGATTTACCTCAGAGTTCTGCTGACGGCAAGCCTTGCTGATGTCTTGACTTCTGCTGTTGGAAATGCATTGCAAGTGATGCTTACCTTAGCTTCCAAAACACTTCTAAGCAGACATTGCTCAGCAATTCTTTCTTTGCAACTACTTTTTCACTTGTGACTTTTCATGTCACCACATCAATCATTCTGGATCAAAAGATTCTATTTTTTATCCAGAATATCCATTTCAAAGGTGACTTTTCTCTGGGCATGGCATTTACTTATTTGAATATGCCCCATAAAGGCGTCTTCCTATCCACCAGACCCAGCGACTATAATCATCATAAATTCTTTATAAGTTGTTTACATCATTAAAAAAAATTATGTGTTCAGTGACATCATATATATTAGCTCCTTTATTCTGCTGATTATACTTTCAAAAGATTCTCAGATGTGAGTTCTAGAAAGGAAATCTGGGTACTATTTATTTATTCATTCAATAGTGTAAACATTTTTTCTTTTATTCTAAAGAATTTTTCATAAACACCTCACTTGGAAAATATCGTTTTTCAGTTCAGCATTTTTGTATAAAAAGTCCAAAACTCCAAAATTTTATTCCAATTTAAAATCACAGGCTTAAATGATCTACATAGTGGATTATGCTAAAAGATAAACAGAATAACATATCTCAGATACCTAATGCAGTAATAAGTAAATTCTTTTTCATTTCAAAATCTAAACAACGTATCTCCTGGACTTTATTCTAGTGTGTGGTTTGCTTTACCATGGGTTCTTACTTTATCAAAAGAGAGTTCTTTGCTGTTTCAGAGTGTTTTATTTTCTTTCATTTCAGATGCTGGATTATGAACAAGAACCTAATATTCAGCTTAGTATCGGAGTTAAAAACCAAGCTGATTTTCACTACTCCGTTGCTTCTCAATTCCGAATGCACCCAACCCCTGTGAGAATTCAGGTTGTTAATGTGAGAGAAGGACCTGCATTTCATCCAAGTACTATGGCTTTTAGTGTGCGGGAAGGAATAAAAGGAAGTTCTTTATTGAATTATGTGCTTGGCACATATACAGCCATAGATTTGGACACAGGAAACCCCGCAACAAATGTCAGGTACTGCAAATATTTTCTTCATGTTCTATGGTTCTATCCAGTGTTAATTCATGTAGCATGTGCTAGTATATGTTGGTTGTAATACTTTTGGAAGGTTTTTTTGCTTTTATTATTTCTTCAATTTAAAAGACTATTAGAGCATTTGAAATCTTAGAATTTTAACAGTGTTTTAGAGGCTTCAATAATGTAAGAGCTCCAACTAGTTATAAAAGTAATCACGTCCAGTGAGCAATTGTAAGATCAAAGAGCCTCCTAAATTACTCCGTGAGTCTTTTTGATCTTTTGTGGCCAGTTTGTACTACCCTGGACCTGGGCCGATTAAGCCATATTGTAGACAATAAGACACCATAAAAGTTGAGTCACCGCTTGTTTTCTTAAACCTGTGTTACCTATGACTTTGAGACTAATTTCAATTCTCTGCTTAATCTAAGAGAAAAAACACAATCATAGAAGCTAAAAACAGTGTTTTAGAAATTTGATAGGCATAAGGAGAGTCAGAAGAGGAGAAATTAAAAGGTAGTATTGGGGCATGAGATACATAGATTATATGTGAATTAGAACAGTGTAAAATATTCTAGAAATAACCACAGTGAAGTACACAGGTCTTCTCTATATCCTGCCCTTCTCTATCTCCTTTTCTTCATCCCAATATTCTTGGAGTAAACAAAGTCTACTGACTTATAAGTTACTTTGATGTTCACAGTTTTAGTTATTAAATCAGTTAACAAATTGACAGACTCAAATAAAACATGTGAAGTCTGCCAGGATGGGTGGAGGTAAAAGCAGTTCAGATAAAGGAACAGAAGACTTGAAATTGTGCCTGGTAGAGACCAGATCTTCTTCCAGTGAGGTCAAGCACTTTAAATCTATCATCTGTAACAAGATCCAGACAGACACACTGAACGGAGGATACCACAACCCCCCAACAGGCCATCAGTGAGGTGCTCTGAAATCAACATGGCTGAAAAGCCACAAAAAAATTCTGAGTATACCACATGTGAAAATAAATAAGCAATATTTGTTTTTGAAAATGAATAACAGATGTTTTATATTGCTATTATTTAATAAACAGAGCTGAAATAAACTCATACATTTTATTAACAGTTATACTAGGAGCCAGAAGAGTAAGAATGATGAAATTTTAAAACTTGCCAATCTGTGTATTAATGTATATATCATTGAATTTTTATTGATATATATACACTTTTTATAAACCAAGGCAATCATCACTATAAAACATAAAAACACAATATTTAAGTTTACCACACTGTAGCTCTTATGTGATTTAATAGTACTAACTTTAATAAAAGCATAATAATGAATTTTTTATTTAAAAACAGATATATCATAGGGCATGATGCAGGCAGCTGGTTAAAAATTGGTTCAAGAACTGGTGAGATACAGTTTTCCAGAGAATTTGATACGAAGTCAAAATATATTATCAATGGGATATACACAGCAGAGATCCTGGCTATAGATGGTAAGAAAATTTATTTTCAGTATTTTAAGAAAACTAATACTATTATATTAAGTATTATGTTACTCTAATGCTGATATTTGAGTAACTCAAACATTTTTAATGGTGTATGTAAGATGTATAGAAAGTCCTAAGCACCTTAAATCAAGAATTGAAGTCAATTAAAATCATAATTTACACTTAAGCCATAGTTTATTTCATCTACTTGCAAAAGTGAGTTGCATATGGCTTAAAGCGTAAAAGTTAAAATATAATTTATCTTCTGTTTATAACTTTGTCTCTTGAGTACGGCTAATCTCACTTGTAGGGTATGTTGGGAATGTTTACTTAAAGTAAGGGCTACATGCTCTCCAAAGTTCATTTGGGGATCACCTTGTGAATATAATTATTTTAGAGCCATTAAACCTGAACTACAGTGAATACAATTATTTTAGAGCCATTAAAGCTGAACTACAGTGAGAAGCTTGTGTGAGTGTTGCTTGATTTGACATATTTCCATAATAAGATGCTATGGATCAAGAAAGCACAGGTTATTCCAAATATAAGATCCACATTAAAAGTCATAAATGCAGATGCACTGACTTAACTTGTAAGTGAGCCACTTCTCACATGGGAAAATCTATTAAGCAGTCCTCTTGGTGAGTAGCAATAGGATTTGTTTATTTATCAATAGTTAATGATTCTATGAAGCAGTGCCTAGGAAACCAGCTGCTGTAGAACAAAACAAGAGAGAAAGGTCAGGAACCACAAAGGAAGGGGAAAGATAGGTGTCCGAGATACATGCCTAATGTAAGACAGATACTGTAGGTTTGCAATGAGTTTATAGCTGACCTTTCTAGTATCAAAACAAAAATAAAGGTAAAGAAGCAGCATAAAATTCAAAAACAAACCATGATAAAACCAAACCAACTATCGTCCATGCATCCTGAGCTTCACCCTGTGGCAAGTAACTTTTAATGCCTGGGTCAGTTTCATAAATAACATTGTCCTATTTATTATCAGTATTCTGCAAGATCTAATTTGAAAATTGATTCTAACCATGTTGATTGCACCCTATGTTTGCATATTGGTCATATGTGAAAATCTTCAAATTCTAGAACAAATAATTAGTCATTCCAAGCAAATAAAGAGAGAGAAAGTGCTATCAAAATGTACCAAGAGAAATCCAAAAACAAAGCTGATGGTTTATTCACCTAAGCAGAGTGTCTGCACTGGCACGGAGCAATCTGAATAGTTGGAATAAGTTTGCTTCAGCACACACCATCATCAGGTGAAGAGACAGACCTCTAGGAAGAGCAAACTTTATTGGGGAGTAAACGCTATAAGCAATAGCTTGAGTTTTGGTTGCCAATCACAAGGTAATAGAAGAGCTACCAAAGATCAGAGAATGACAAATAAAACAATCTCTGGAATAATCTGATGGCTCTCGAATGAGAAACTAAGTGAAATCAATATCTTTCATCTAGTGAAATCAGGTCCAATGCTGAATAGGGTATATAAACATATTATACAAAATCATATAGACTATACTAGGCTCTCAGTTTATTCTCATTCAGTTACCTCAGTGACTACTACTTAGGCACACAGAAAACGTCTGTAAAAGGAATTTATTGCCTTCTCAGAAAATGACCTACTAAAGTGCCCTAGAGACGACAATGTTCTAGTTTAAAAGTGAGAAAGCTAAGATTTTTTTCAAGTTAAAAACAAGCAAAAAAAGTTCTTTATTCGCTGTAACAGAACATAGAGTAGAAAAGTGGACTAAAAAGCTCCTGTACTCCTAATCTTTAGTCTTTGGCCCTTTCTGATAAATTATACTATCCAAAAACTTGTTTCAAGTGGATCAGGGAAAAATCTAATAGACTTATATTTGTTTTCAGAAATGCCATTTCTCAAAGAAATAGCGTGTAACCGATGCAATTAAAATAAACAGTGAACACAGAAGAAAAACACCAACAAGTATTTATTTCAACTGTGCTTATTTCTACAAACACAGGACTCAATGAGCATCCTGAATGGAGGTCCATAACTGATCCAGGGGTCTAATTTACGGGAACAGGGTGAGACTAGAAAGCAGTAAACCTTCTCTGAGGAAGAACATTTGATTTTGCGCCTTAGGATGTGTTAGAATTAGCAAAATGAAATGAGGATGGAAAACATTTTAGGAAGAGTGGAAAGAATGTGCCAGAGTCCAGAGTAAAAAGAGAAACTTGTTTAAAGAACTCAAAAGAAGCAGTGTGGCTGGAAGGTAGCACACAAAGGGAAGAGTGACTTTGGGTCGCTGAAGCGGGCAGGAACCTGTCAAGCCTCCCAAGTCATGTATATGATTCCTACAAGTTCCATGGCATCATCAGGGGATATGAGAAAGAGTTTTCTCCCTAACACCATTTACCTCAACACCTATGAAACTTACTCTTTCAGATGGCTCTGGAAAAACAGCTACAGGAACCATATGTATTGAGGTTCCTGATATCAACGATTACTGTCCAAACATTTTTCCTGAAAGAAGAACCATCTGCATTGACTCTCCATCAGTCCTTATCTCTGTTCATGAACATTCTTATGGGTCTCCCTTTACTTTCTGTGTTGTTGATCAGCCACCAGGAACAGCTGACATGTGGGATGTCAGATCAACAAATGGTAAGTGAAATGTAAGCTTGCTTTTCGGACTTTAAGTCCCAAAGCAAAACAATTACCAAAAAATGTGTCAAGTCACTTAATAAAACATTCTATTTCTGTTTCCACAATTCTTGCCATATTAACATTAAATGAAAAAAAATCTTTCATGTACACAGGATATTTGACAAAATTTTGAACTGAAATAAGAGTCAAAATGTTTAATTAATATTGCATTTACAAATGGTAGATAAATACCAGTTTACCCATCATTTTGAGTAGGTAGGACATTAAACCAATATTTATTCAGTTTAAAATAAACAGAACCCCTAAAAAACTCATAAATTAAGAATGTCACAATTCCCTATTCTGAATAAACAGACAAATCACATAAATGTCTCTGAAACTCATATATCCCATAGATACATTTAAACATTTACTACTCAGGAGCACATAAGATCAATTAAATTGTTTTTAGCAATAGCTATGAGTTCAGACTTATTTTTAAGGGTAAAAATTTAAATCCGAATTGCTCAGTATTAGAGAAATGATTAAACAAATTATACTACATATTATTAAGATGTGCTAATATACAGCCATTAAAATTAGAATTATACAAAGTATATAGATACAAAAGAATGCATAAACCGAAGAAAGTAAAGTGAAAAGCAGATCACAAAATTGTATATGTATGTATCTTGACTATAGCTACATACAATTGAATGACTGACATTGATAAAAATTAAGAATAAATTTCAGATAACATAACATTTTATCTACCTTGGGTTCTTTTTCGTAAAATGTTAAGTGCATAATAAAAAAGAAAATGCTATGAGAGGATCCCATTTGGGCTTAGATAGCTCCCTAATCTCATATTCATGTGGGGCTACAGGGAAAATCTCATGGGCTAGTCAGTGGCCATCAGACTACAGAGCCCAGGGTGAGAAGAAATACTTCCCACCTCTTTGAGGCCACCAAGCCCCTCTGTTTACAGAATGGAGAAACCCTAAAATATGGTAGGAAAAATACTACCAATAAAGACTTGGTCAAAGTGAGCAACTAGGCAATTTGTTTTTACCATCAAACCTTTAGCTCTTTTCAACAAAACCACTTTAATATTTTTTAAAGTTAATCACATTAAAGCAATTCCATTAATATCAAGTCAACTCTGAATATGCCATCTCCTATAAAGCTCAATAGCCCATTCATAAATAATAATAATTGCTAACCACTTTTTTCCTCATTCAGATCCTAGATATTATGATTATACACATAAGAAAAAATGCTCTGCATGGAGGTATAATATTATAGCTATTACAGGTTTGCCAATAAAAAAGATAACCGCACTGGAGATAATATTCCTAGAGACCTGTTTCAATGCTGGTGTTTTAGAACAGAATGAACTTTACTTAATGTACTGTGGCATTGTCTTATCTCATTTTTACTTTGTGCACAGATTTTGGTAGACACCAAATCTGGCTTGCTATCTAGCTAACTGAGGATAATAAACCATCATAATAAAAAATATTGTGTGCTATGGATCAGTCAGTTACTATTCATGGTTTAGCTGTAAATTTAATCATCTCTTAACACTCATTGTATTAATAAATTCCAACCAATATTTTAGACAATATGTTTCATAAAAATTCATAGGCAAATAGCACAAAGAATTAGGCGAATTTGAACAATTTTAAGTGAAAGGGCAACAATTTTGACTCAGATACATATAAACAGTCTTAAGGAGGTTATTGTGTAAACTGTAGTCCTAAATAGAAGACTTCCAATATTTTCTTTCAACTTAATATGATTTATTCATTGGGCAAATATTCACTGAATGTATATTATATGCCAATTACTGTTGCTCCGGAAAGATGCAACAAGGTCCTTGCCTGCATTGTAGAAGTAGCAATCCAGCAATAAGCAATACTTATTTAAAAAATAGGTATAAATGTTTAAAAAAAAAAAAAGAAAAGAAAAGAAAAGAAAGAAAAAGAGGCTGGGCGCAGTGGCTCACGCCTGTAATCCCAGCACTTTGGGAGGCCGAGGTGGGCGGATCACGAGGTCAGGAGATCGAGGCCATCCTGGCTAACACTGTGAAACTCTGTCTCTACTAAAAAATACAAAACAAAATTAGCCGGGCAAGGTGGCGGGCGCCTGTAGTCCCAGCTACTCAGGAGGCTGAGGCAGGAGAATGGTGTAAACCCGGGAGGCGGAGCTTGCAGTGAGCCGAGATCGTGCCACTGCACTCCAGCCTGAGCAACAGAGCGAGACTCCGTCTCAAAAAA